TAGTACTCTGATGTTATACAGCTGTTGATGGAATCAGTTTCTCTGAGAGCTACCACAGAGTTTGGGAAAATTAACTACCATCTGGCCTCAAAACCATAAAACTGAGTTTTATATTTAGGGATAGTAAAATGAGTTGCCTAGTCATAAAAACAAAGGCACAAGCAAAACTTATGCATTGAGAAGATCCAGCATTCAACATCCTAAACTGAAAACAATTTATTATAAATATATCTACGCCAGCCTAATAGATAAATATTTTTTTATGTCCAATAAATGAAACTTTTTCTTAGAAACATATTTCGAAATATTTGTTCCAAAAGTCTAATCTAAAAACTCTATAACTCGGCTATAATTATATATATATATATATATATATATATATATATATATATTTTACAAATATTTGTATTTACAATTCATTACGTTACAACTTTATTGCATAATATAATGTAACATAAAATATATAATGTAGCGTAATATAACGTAATTTAATAAATTACGTTACATTACGTTAAGTTATATATTTTATATGTTGATATAAAATATATAACACACAAAGCTATAGATGTATATAAGTTGTTTACATAGCAAAATGCTTTATCTGCGCATAAAAGTTCGATAGAAAATTTTCATGCAACTCTAAAGCGTGGTGTTTATAAAAAGGTTCAAACGGTGCTTGTTAGCATTACATATACCATACATGGACCACAGCAAAATCATGGCATAAAGAAGAGTGGTTAGTACGCAATTAATATATACTTAGCAAGTGTACAAATCTGTACGACGTCTATACGACTTCTTAGGGATGTTATAAGACCGTAGAACATCCTTAAAACGTACATCGGATGTTCTGGGTAGAGCCTTCTGGGTAGTTTACTCACATGAAATTGTCTCTTCCGTCAGTAAAGATTCCACATGTACTAAGTTAATAATATTGTTGTAAAGGAAATTAAAAATTGTTCTAAAAAAAGCTAAAAAGAATTAGATAATCTCTTTTTTTTTTACTTGAACATTTCTCCATATATCCTTTTTCGCTTCTTTGACTGAGTGCTTAATTTAGCTTTTAAACACAAACTCTACTTAACACATAGGCAAGTTGTTTAGTTCTTTTGTAGTTACTTTTGTAAGGCTCAGCAAATGTTTTGCAAGAAATCGTTTTGATGGAAACAATAAATATATGTTTTTTTTCCTATGTAATTAAAAACCTCACATAAATTTGTTTTACTAAATCTATTTATCATTTAAAAATCTTTTATTCAAAGCAGAAATTGTTATTTCTGTTCTGACACTAACTTACACACTCCAGCTCCCCGTGGATTGGCCTCTGATAACAAAGTTTTATAATCATTTATTCGAAACGGAAACAATACCCATTATTAATAAACCTACTAAAATTACGAATAATTCGTCCTCTCTAATTGACAGCATTTTAACCAATGACTTTTCTAACATAACGCTTAAGAAAGGCATTGTAATAACTGGCTTTTCTGATCATTTTCCTATTTTTCTTCTGCATAAGCGCTAATCGCAAAATAAGTATGCGCAGAATTCAAAAACGCATTTAAAAAACGTGTTCATAACAACACTAGTTTAAATTAAAAGCAACTTTTAAATTAACACTTAAAAAGCAACTTTAACACGGGAGCTATATAAATTTCAATGGCAATGTAAACCTTGTTTTTAAATCTTTTTTTAAAAATTTTTTAAAATATCTGCGACGCAAATCTTCCGTTGCGTGAAATAATGCTTAACGCAAATGACCTGTCTTCAGAATGAATAAGTATAGGAATTAAAAAAGCAAAAACACTTTTCTATATATCTAAAAGCTATATCAGAAAGCATAATAGTACATACATAATCTATATACATACATAAAAGTACATGCATAAGTCTATTTTATAGACTGTGTGTATATCCAAATTCTATGCCGGTTGCAAAAAAAAAAAAATTTGAGAATAAATTAATTAACAATTCGAATGAAATTGCCGCCAAATTCAACAAGTTTTTTTTAACAATGGGACAAAGTCTATCTAGAATTTATTTTATTAACAACTTCAACAATTTTTCAAAACTTTTTGAAGAAATTTGAAAAATTACGCAAAACAATCCAAGAAAGTTTTAGAATCTCAAGAAAGTTCTAGTTCATCAAGATGTTTTTTCTTTGACAATTAAAATGAAGTATAAATTTTTATAAGGATTATAATTTTTAAAGGTTATAATTCGTTAATATTATTTTTCTTTCGTATAAAATGCTATAAATTATAGCATTTTATACGAAAGAAAAATGATATTGAAATAATTGATACAAATTTGAAAAATGAGAAAAACTATTAATTAATATATTATAGTATAATATATTAATTAATAGTTTTTCTCATTTTTCAAATTTGTAGTTTTAGTTTTTGTTTAAACTTATCATGAGTTGTAATTGTTTTGATATCGTTACTAAGATATCGTTACTAAGATATCGTTACTAATCATTGGGTACTTTGGGTCAGGTTCTGATTACTGATCACTTTATTCCATACATTTGTTCAGGGGCAGATCCAGCATTTTTTGGTCTTTGAGATAACTTCCAAACATGGAGCAAACTCTAAACATTTATATACAATACTTATGTAAATAAGGATGCTTTGCAAAATATTGCGATTATTGGAGTCTCAGAACAAAAAAACTCCAAAATTTTTACCCCCTGCCCCAAACGTGAGAGCATCAAACTGATAAAATACTTTTTGTACTATTCTCAACTAGTCATATATTCATCAATAAATTTTAAGTTTCATTGAATAATATTTTAAAATTATGACCACATAAAATTTGTATCCCCCTCACTTTGAGGGGGTTACAAGTTTTATATAGTCATAATTTTTGAACGCTCGGAAATTGTACTATGAAACTTAAAATTTATTGATGAATATATGTCTAATTGAAAAAAGTACGAAAAATATTTTATCAACTTTTTGCTCTCACGTTTTTTTCTCTCGAGTTTGCTCCATGTCTGGAAGCTAGCAATCTCAAAGTCCAAAAAGTGCTGGATCCGCCCCTGCATTGGGTCCTTTAACAGTTATTGAGAACTTTGTTGAACAATATGTAGTTTTGGGTTAAATATAAATATTACTCAAATATTTCGTAAGATATTTGTGCTGATTTTTATTTAATAATAGTTTATTAATAGTGTTGTTAATAGTGTTGTTGGTATTGTATTTTTATTAATTTTATACATCAAAACGGAGTAAACAACTTAAACTTACTTTGGTTTAAAGAATACTTGACTAACAGCAAACAATGCATAACCAATAAAAAAAATAAAACCAAAAAAAATTATAAATTGCGGGGTTCCCCAAGGCTTCATCATAAGACCATTATTGTTTCTAGTGTATATAAATGACTAATTTTTAGCATCTAAAAAATTTTATCTTATATTGTTTGCTGACTATTCCAGTCTGTTTCACACAAAGATATAAAAATTTTTAATAAAGAATTATCTAAAATAAATGAATGGTTTATAAGTAACCGCCTTTTGCTAAATGTAGATAAAACTAAACTCACTCTGTTCCAAAAACCAAATAAAGTTGATAATATTCCATTTAAACTGTCATATCTTTTATTCAACGGAATCTACTGTTAACTTTTTAGGAGTAATTATTGATGAAAACTTGTCATTTAAGTTTAACTTTTTTTTTTAAACTTTTTTAAAAAGATGAATTTTATTTTCAGTAAAACAGTTCTTCTGAACACTGTGTTCTACTAAACACGCTATTCTGCAAATAACGCGCAGTATTGCTAATTCCATTAAAAATACTCATTTTACACTAGACATATTCATTGATTTGTCATAAGTTTTTGAAACTGTTCATCACCATATTTTATTGAAAAAGTTGAAAAGCTATGGCATGAGAGATAAATCCCTAAATTAATTAAAAAGTTATACTTGTAACCGTAAACAATTTGTTTATATATTTGTTTGTTATAATCGCAATCATTAACGAATATAACATGTGGTGTTCCCCAAGGATACTTGGACCTTTCTTATTTTTAATATATACAAATGATCTTTATAAAGCTTCTAATTTAAAAATCATAATTTTTGTGGATGATACGAATTTATAACAATAATACAAAGACATTAATATACGAAGACATTAACATTCATAAAATATGACTGATGAACTAAAAAATTTCATATTGGTTCGAAAGAAAAAGATTGTCTTTATATACCGATAAAACAAACCGGATACTTTTTTATTCAACCTATTAAAAAAAAAAATTCAAACTATCTACCTGGCCTTTTTATTAACAATACAATCCTAAAAAGAAAAAAGTTACAAGTTTCTTAGTAGTCATGATAAATGAAATCATTTCTTGGAGATTTTTTGGAGGTAATAACTTTCTGTATGAAGTTAGACATATATAAATTAAACACCAATTTACACAACTATATTATTCATTTATTCATTGCCATTTAAACTATGCAAATGTAATATGGGGAAGCGCTCACAAAACCAAACTTGAATTTCTCTATCGACATCAGAAACAAGCAGCTTGCACAATTAATTTTGCTGATCGTTTTTCAAGCTCAACACTACTTCTTAAAGAAAAGAAAGTTTTGAATATATACGAACTAAATATTTTGAATATTTTGTGTTTTACGTTTAAATGTAAAGAAATGATACCACCAACTGTATTTATAAATCATATATAATTTGAAACCTACAAACAAATGTGATTTTCGTAATGGTAAAAATATCCACAAGCCATTATGCCAAAATAAAAATGACCAACTGTGTTTCATATCGTGGTCCTTTTCATTGAAATAAAAAAATTTTGCCTAATTTTGAGTTTTTTAAAAAAAGACTTTCAAGTCCATTTAAAAGAAATAAAAGATCGCAAAGAGTTTTATGAGATTATGATTGATCCTGCCGATTGATCCTGCCGGTAATAAATTCAATGCAAATTTACCTTGTACATTTTTTGGCAAAAAAAAAAAAAATTAAATAAAGTTTTGAGTTCAAGTCACTATGATAATATATAATTAAAAAAAATATGAAATACTTTCATATTTGCGCTATAAACATTTAAAAGGTATCATATAACATTTAGATGCATACTTGCGCTTTAAAGAGATAAAATATTAACTTTTTGGAAAAAGTTAAGTCACATGCGTTTCGGTTGGTACTTTGATACTAAAAATAAAATAAAAATGCATCAGATTAAATTGCACAATAAATAACACAATAAAAATTGTTAAAACTCTTTATATAAAAAATTGTTATTGTATTTGTGCATTAAAACGTTTCAAAGTTGAAAGTATTTAATTGACGTGTTTTAAAATTTTTATGTACATCTATAGCTTGTATTGGTAACGTGGCTTATATATATATATATATATATATATATATATATATATATATATATATATATATATATATATATATATATATATATATATATATATATATATATATATATATATATATATATATATATATATATATATATATATATATATATATATATATATATATTATATGTTTAATATCTATTTTCCCAGAGGTATTTTAACTGGTATTCCGTTAATTAAAATTGTTGCCGTATCTTTAGCTACGGGTTGCTGCTTTTGATTAGTCATTAGTTCCTGCAATGCTTGTAGCGTAAGAGCTTGATTAGTTGATGCTGGGTTAGAAGCATCTGAACCACAAAGACCTGATCGACGACATGCTGCAGCTGATCTATCTTTGTCTGTACCTACTAGGTTGATCTTAACATCAGATTGTACATTGGCATCTAAATAAACAACAATATAGTTGCAAAAAAATGTTTGAATGTTATACAACATTTTAATAACAATCATGTGAAAAGTTTCTTTAGAAAATGATAAAAATTAGTAACCTAGTAACAATAAATAATTTTTAAAATAAGTTGTGGTCAACTGCATTACATATAAACAAATGATTAACATACTTCCTTTAAAATCATTATATGATGGTGCTGCAGGACGTGGAGCAGGAGGTGGTGCATATTGAGGTGGTGGTGCATATTGAGGTGGTGGTGCATATTGAGGTGGTGGTGGTGCATAATAAACTGGTGGCGGTGGAGGAGGCGGAGGAGGAGGTGGAGGAGGTGGAGGTAAGGGTCTTTGTTCCTTTACAACTTGAGCCTTTGGTTTTGGGTGACGTTGGTTTGCAAGTGTGTTAACAACGTTTAATGTTATTGACGCAAGCAAAGTTGTATTCTAAACAAAATAAACTTTATTACTTTTATTTTATCGATTAGATAATATAAAATAAAATGAAAATAGTCAAATTGACAATAAAATGATTACCCATGCACAGTTATGTTCAAGCTTATCCAATCTTTGTAAAAGAAGATTGACAATATCAGGTGAGCATTGTTTCTAAAGAAAAATGTCAACTAAAAAGTGTTTTCTAAGTTCTAATACCTGTGGATATCATATATTTTTATAACAGAGTTTTCGCATCTTTATATGAATATATAAATATATAGTATATATATAGAGTATAATTGTGTAAAAAAAAAAAAAAAAAACTAGTTGTAAAAGTTTTTAACCTCTTTTGGCATTTTAGAAGCAACACATTCATCACCTTGGTCACCTTTAGGTCCCTAAAAATTTCATTTAGGGGTAAAAACTAATAAAACAAAAAATTAATAAAAATTTAATTAAAAAAAAATGATATAAAGAATAGTTTTTAGATATTTATTGTATATAAAAATAAAAAATTCGTTAATTTAGTTCTATAAAACACATACAGTTGGTCCTTGTGGACCTGGTGGACCTGGATCACCAGGTGGCCCTTTTGGTCCAGGTTTACCAATTCTTCCGTCTTTGCCTTTTAAATTTAATGTCAGCATTTCCTAAAATTATTTTAGTAAAATAAATTAATGCAAAGGTTCAGTTTAATGCAATAGAATTCAGCATTTGTTATATAGAAAATTTATAGTTACCGGATGAATAACGCCAGGCGGAGGCTGATCACCAACACTAAACACTGGTCCAACTGGTGCACTATAGTCTCCTTTGCCATTAATTTGAACCTCAGATATTGATTTTGCTTTTACATCACATCCTGGCGCAGATCTACCTCCAGGACCATTAGATGCGCAGCCTCCAGGTCCTCCAGGGTTTAAAAGACCAAGTTGTCGTGCAATTTCTATAGGAACTTCAATGTTTGAATTTGAGTTTATATCCTAAATTGTGTGTATATACATTAGACAACAGTTTTATTGAGCATTAATTTTTATTGAGATTCAATTCGATTAACTATAATACTTGATATAAAAAATAACTAAAAATAAACAAAAATTTACGTACCATACGTTTTGCGCTGTATTTATTAAATTTGTGAGGTTCAGCTACAAACCCCATTTGTTGTAAACGGGAAAAGGGTATGATAATTTTTTCCGCCATCTTAAAAGTAAAAGTAAAATCAATTCAGCATTTTATATTAAATTCATAAAGTTTTTTTTTTAGTAAAGCAACAACAAATCTACAAATATTTGTTTAAAAAAATTTCCGTTTGTAACATTTTAAACATATTTTATTTATATAACTTTATTTAACATCGATAAATTTTACAAAAGTATTGTAAATAATAAGCCACAGTAAAATACTAAACTATCACACAAGTATAAATTTGTTACAGTTCATTACAGCTATAAATATTTATTAATAACAAAGTTAATTAATAGGCTGTCACTCGCTGATTTTTTTTTTAATTCATGATGTTGCTTGTTAAAGAAATTTCTAGCTCCAAATGAACGGTTCAAGATATGTTTTCCATATAATTCTATTTTAATTCAAGAGGTACAAATGTAAGCGTTTTTTCGAGTATTTAGGTTTTTCTTATTAACACTTGTATTCAAATAATGAGCTTTCTAAAGCTAAAAATGTAAATTACTTTGATGCACTGACTGATGCACTGAGACAGAGTTGTCATTCTCTAAAAGCTTTTAAGTCGACTTTTAATCAAAGTGCACTTGCGTGTAACTTATTAATTTTTTGTATTTGTTGCTCTGCTACAACACATTTACACAAGAGGACAGCACATTTACATAATTTGAGACTTCAAGAAAGAGTTTAATAAAAAAATTTTTTCTTGAAGTCCAAGTACTTAATTATTTTTTTAAGAATTCTCAGTTTTTGATTAGTTTTTTTATAGATTTGAGAACAATGTTTATTCGAGTTTTTTGTCTATAGTTATTCACGGTTGTAAAAACTGGCCCAAAACTACTTTTGAAAGCACAGAGCAAACCACTTGTGTGGGGTGAGACTACATGGCCCCTAGATCACTGGGAAACAAAAATTGAAATCAAATCATTTAATCCGAGAAAAAAAAATGACTTTGAAATTTTACTATATTTTGAGCTAAAAATGAAATGACAGCTTTTCAAAAATTGTGCATTTTTTACAGTACAATTAAAAAACAAGATTAACAGTTCTTTAATATCAATGTGAACAAGTTAATTCTTCAACTTATAAAATTCTCAGCGAAAGAAACATTAAAAAAAAAAATATATCTGTAAATATTACAATTTAATACAAGAAATAGATTCAAAAATATTCAATGCCTTTTTAAAATGCGTTTGCTGTTATATTTAATAAAGGCATTTAAGAAGCCTTTGCTTCTGGATGGTCTGGACTTTGCTTGTATCTCTGCCACTGAATTCCCAAATCATGATGAACGGATTCAGCAGATTGTTCACTGTATTGTCCAAGTGAGCATCTTTTTAAGTCAATGAATTGTTTCACATGGTGAAAAACAGAATGAAAATTGGAAGTGACTGTTACAATAGAGCCTTGAATTAATATTAGTTAATATTAGTTCTTGAATTAAACAATCTTTTCACCAAAATCATACATATGGTGATTTCCAAAGCAAGGTGCCACAACAGCCCCAAATTTTCTGAAAGCATCAATTGTCTAAAAAATGTGAAAAGTTGCATCACGGCCAATAGCCGTCGCGCCGTCTGGAACAGCGTCGCGCCGTCTGGAACAGCAACACTGTTTGGCGCTCTTACTTATCAAAATTTCTCTATATTATAGATAAAATACCTTTAATTTTTTTTTAGTTTATTCGATACCTCCGTTTCATTTGGCGCCCCTTGGATATCTGCCGCCCAGAAGCGACAAACTGTTGGTATGATGCTTGAAGTTTTCCAAGGGTTCGCAAAGTCCCACAACTTTCAATAAATCTGGAGTCTACATCACACCATTTGCATGTGTGAGCACCTGCATGGAACAGGTTTTCGCTAACTGCCAAAAAATCTGTGACTTATATCTTTAGAATGTTTTGTATTTTGGCGGCAAATTTAGATTTCACTAATTTGGTACTTTAGACTTGATAGATTGTAGAAACAAGTTTCTTCATGCTAAGATTTAACAGGCATGTGTTTAGCTGTAATTGAATGAGACTCTTAGTTGATAATGCAGGTTCATTAAAAAGACGTCTGGAGCTTAAGGAGATTTTTATATGGAATAAGAAAAAATAAAATTTCTCTCTAGAACTTTACAGACTTCCCTGCTAATAAATTTAAAAAAGAAGCATTCTTTTAATGCAAGTTTTTATAAAAAAAAGAAAAGTAACTAAAAGCAAGAGTTCCTAGAATTATTTCTTGTAATTTTACAAACATACCTGGAGTTAAAGGAAATGATGCCTCCTCCATTGGTTCTAGCAATACAAATGGTTGTATAGGGTGAAACCTCTTTGGTAGCTATGAATTTTATAAAGCTACTTAGATGCAATTTTTCTCTATTGTTTTTAGATCATTGGACGCTCTTTCATACTTTCTATGAAAGCGTATTGGCTCCAGATATGAGGCAGACCCTAACTAATAAGTCTTAAACAAGTTGAAGATCTTCTTGATGGCATAGAAAAGTTTTTGTCATCTTTGCGATTGGCCCGGTGGGAAATGAGCTAGCGACTAGCTAGCTTTATAGCGATTTTCAAGCAAAGGCCATGGTTTATATTATTTTGAAATGACAAGACCATGGTTTAAAAATGCACAATTTTTGGAAAGCTGTCATTTCGTTTTTAGGCAAAAAAACAAAAAAAAAATGCATTTTCCCCCGTTGTAAATTTTTGTTAATGGTTCAATTACTTTTTTTTTAAGGTGAAAAATATTATCCTCTTCTAAATAAAAGTTATTAAACCATTAACAAAAATTTACAACCCTAGAAAATGAAGTAAAAACTTCATTGTCTAGAGAGATTTTCCAATTTTCAATGAGGCTTGTAAGAGTCTTTTAAGTGCTAAATTATTTACGGTAACCACAAAGAAACGGAGATAAATAGATTAAATACGATAAAAAATTTGAGATTCTAATAACCATTTAAATATTGTGGAAACAAAGTAACACACAGATTGGTCTTTAGTTGATGCCTTTATAGGAATTCCAGCGACAATGTTAATTTAACTTGGAGCTTGCTTGTTTCATTTTTTTATTAAAGATTTATCTTCATATTACCTTAACGTAAAGAGTTTTGCAATTTTATATTATCAGAAAAGCATTTTAGCGGTTTTACATTTTGTTGTTATATTTTTAACAGATCAAAGATTTTTTTAGTATCATTAGGTATATTTCCCCTTTAAAGTTTTTATTAAAAATATTATTGAATTTTTTTGGCTAATAATGTGACATTGAGCCGTCACTATCAACTACCACTTGGAAGTATATGCTTTTTAACAAACAATATCCATTTTACTTATCATAGTTTTAATAAAATGTTTTCAATTAGATAGCCATAAGAATCAAAAAATATAACATAAAAAAGTAATACTTTGTCAAAACTATATTTCTAATAAAAAAGTTAGTTGCATACTCTACCATTTAGTTTTTTCCACTATATACTAAAATTTAAGTTTAAATACTGCCTGTTAAAATCAGGGAAGTAAACATATCAAAACTTTAAAAAAGGTCTCGTTAGACTCATAAAAAAAATTACACTTTTAAAAAAAAAAAAGTAAATAAATAGTTTATTTATTTTGTCAATATGCCATATTTTACTATGTTATCCATACAGTTATATAATAAAACTTTTGTACAATCTAAACTTGCTTTCGTGCTTGTTTTGATCCATTAATTTTTAAATGATGTGATTTTGAAAATAATAAGCGAATAAAAATAAGTTTATTATTTTTGTTGCAATTTATTTTGGAAAAAAAATATATTGCCATGTTTCGACAAATCTACTTTAAGTCAACTTTAAGAATGTATTAGTCGATTATAGTTAACTTTACAAAATATATCACTCGATTTAGTTATCAGTCAAATTGTTTTTATTTTTTATTTTGTGGTTATTAAGGTGCTCCCAGAAGTCTTTACTTATCACACTGCGGAAAAAGCAAATAACTAAGAAGTTCACGTCTCCTTAACAACGTTGCTTACTGGGCTAGAGTCGAGGTCGAATTTTTGACCTCTTGTTCTGAGGCAGAACTCTAACAACTGAGTCACAGCTGCAATATTTAAAAGTTGTAGCAACACAAGCACTCATGAAACTTTAATTCCAATTCTCTATTCATATTTTTTTGGGGGAAATTTCCGTGCGGAAAAGTACTTTAAGCGTTAAACAAACAAGTTTGGATTGTTTGACGTTGGTCGCATATGCAAATAATTTCAAATAATCAAAACTTGCTTATTAAACGCACATACTTTTCTTTGTCAGAAATTAGTTCTAAAGTGGAAAAAAATCTAAAGGGAGAAGAATTGGCTTTGGAGCTTTTTTTTTTAATTATTCACTTCCATAAGGCCGAGAAGACAATTACAATCGAGGAGGCTACTTTTTGTGGTTATCACCCTCTCTCAACTCTATAACTCCGAAACACGAACCTCTAAGAACAAGGCCGCTGCGCGAAGAAACAAGTTGAGTTCTTTTAAATGCCAACACTGTACTCTAATTCAACAGAAAATCGTTTAGTAATAAGTTAAACCAAAATAATAGCAAAAGTATTTTCAAAATAAAACCAAAATGTGTAAATCTTAATTAAGCAATTTAGTAATCAATGTTTCAGCTTGGAAAAATATTTTAGTGGAAAAAAATGATGCTTTTTGTAGCCTATTCAAAAGCTAACAATCAAATTTTCAATCTTTTAAGCGTGACAAGCCTCTCTGTATATCTATTTACAATAGTTATAAAGTGTCAACTAAATTTTATAGAGATTTTAAATTAGATAATAATTATAAACATTTAAAGTATTTTAAATTAGCTGATTCTCATTGAGATAATAAATATTTAGAAGTAAGATGCGGACTATTGAAGGTTACAAAAAGATTTGGAATAAATCAGACGATAATATTAATTACAATTTATTTTTACAGAGTTTACTTAATAGTGACAAATTTGAAAATAATAAGTATACTTAGGAGGTTCTTTGGAAAATTAAGGGAAATCACCCTTTGTTAAGCGATAAT